AAAATGAGCCGCGGGACCTTTTGCTGCGCCTTGACGCGCGTCAACCATTCACTTTGCATGTAAACTCGCTGCGTCTGTCGCGCCAGCTACATCCAGTGCGAACGCAGCATTAGTCATTCGCTGCTAAGCTCAAAACAACCACGCCTGGCTTGACAGAGAAACCAGGAGAACAGCTGTGCATATTTACGACAGTGCACTTTTACTTTCGCCCTCTGGGGGGAGCCTCGCTGGAAAATCAACACCGGTTGCATAGTGTACCTTTAATCGACAAACAGTCCTATCATTGGCTGCAGCTGCAGGAGGAAACAGATTCAGATCAAATGAAGCAGAACGATTGAAATCTCCCTATAAGGAGCTAATCTGGTTCAGTGGTTCTCCAGGATCAACAAGGGTTCATCTAAAGATGCTTCTAGAACTGATTGGTGACCTGTAGTTTAGAGCTGCAGATAGTAATTGTCAGAGTTATAGGTTGTTTGGCTGTTTTATGGTTGTGATTTCTGAGCATAGACTTCCAGGTTTAGATCTACTTTTCTATCATTTAGATGGATCTATGAAAGTTCATCATTCTAGAAAATAAGAGGCAGTAAAAGGAAAACTGAATGAGACAAGATCTGCATGATCTGAGAATGAAGGAGGAAGAGATAACCACATGTTTAATCTGAATTTATTAGATTGTTTTTACTGGTAACTCCTAATATTGTGGCGATTAACCTCTTTAGTATTTAATCAGATGAGACATTGATAACAAAAATAGTCATAATCATCATCATAATAATCATAATATGTGATTATCATGGTATGATGAGATTATCCTGGCGTTACAAAAAGATCTGTGACCCGTCATATACTGTGACCAATGAGTGTTTGGTGAGAAACGTAGCGACTCACAGAACAATAGTGAATAATCCCAACAGCTCATCTAGAAATGACCAATTTAACAGGCGTGCGAAACAAGAATCTGATTTAACTATTGAATTGTACGTTTTGTTTTTGTTCATGCTTTGTTGGAAGGGATTCTGATTGTTTTATGTCTGTTTTAGATCAGTGTTAGATTGATAGAAGAGGACAGGAATAGATTAGAAGACTGATAGAAAGCAGATAGAATGAGAGCGGAGGAAAATAGAAACACTGATGGAAAGATCAGTTAAAGAGAAGGAAGAAAAATCTACTTGGAGTAAAACAGGCAGGAGTCTGCTAGAAAGAAAAGCAGATGGAGGGAAGGAGACAGAACCACCAGATGGCACTAATAAACACCATTGAATGATTCATTTTATTCATCTTAGGAAAAAGGAGAGAAACATTCCTGGACTTAACGCTTGATTTCTGTTGTTTATTATCAAATATTTAAAAATAGATGAAAGCATCAGCGTCCCTCTTTAATTTTGATTATATGTATTTATTTTTATCTCTGGGCTGGAAATGTCTCCAGATTAGAATTCAGAAATCTGTTTAGCTTTAGGTATTAGAATGAAGAACCCAAAGAGAAAAAGCAGGATTGAGCATAAAGACCTACTGTGTTAGCACAGCTGAATTAGTCTGAAGAAAAGCCTGAAAAATTTTTCTAATCTAAACAGTCGGGGGGGGCAGCGGGAGAAGGACTTGAATTCCAGGACTCTCCAGGCTGCTTCTTCTTGCCCTCTGGCACAGCTCCCAGCATGAAAGGAAGCTTGATGTTCAGCCGCTCCCTCTCTGCCTCATCATCCTCATCCTCCGCATCGCTGTGGTGTGGGGTAGAGCGGAGGGAGGCAGAGGGAGAAGGAGGCACTGAAGATGGCCGACGATATCTGAAACCCTGTCTGTGGATGAAAGAAAGCTAAGGTCATGGAGACTTGAATGGATTTTTGCTTTGTTTGCAGCGCTCACACCGCGCACACATGAGAATAAAAACACAGAAATATGCACCTCCATCTATAAACATTCAATTCTTCCAGTTTAACTGTTAGGGCTTACGTTTTCTCTTTGTGTTATTCTAGTTTTTTTATGGTTGTTGAGTTCTTATGTATTTCTTGTTTACCCTCTGCTGCCCCCTTGTGTGAGTTTCCTTCCCTAGCTCCCTTCTAGATGTTTCTAGAAGTCTGCTTATTCGGCGCTAGGAGCTTTTTAGAAATCAAAGTGCTAGAGGGGTCTGAAAAGTGGCTAAATATAGCGACTAAAGCGCTAAGTTGGCAACACTGCTCTTTGCATGGTTTGTTTTCAAATGGTTTGCTGCTGTCTGTTTGGACCTTTCTGAACATGTGCAGCAAATGGACTGATCCAATATGGTGGACACTGAGGGGGGGGCTGAGATATTTTAGCCAAAGGATTAGCAGTCATTCCAAGTTCCAAAACTCATTTCAGGGAGATGCTTATCCCCCGCCCCCCGGGTCCAACAGACCCGCACCGTGCCCCATACATACACACTGAAGGCCAGCAACTTTTCACCAACTGTTTATTAACTAACAGTCATTTCCTAAACACTAAACAGAACAGCATTGGTCTTTTATTTTCAATACTTTCAATCTTGTAGCCTTGAACATCAGCTGTGCTTTCTGTTCTTCATGGGACTTCAGCATACAGTGCACCTCGCCACGGTGTCATCGTTCCTCACCATGGCCGGCTCCATGAAAACACGCTGGCCCCCTCATGGCCCCCTGGTCATTTAGTCTAGATCCGCCACTGTTTCCTCCCTTCACTGGACGTGGATATACTTTAGTATATTCTGCTGTAAATCAGTCCTATATTTTCATTTTTAACTGGAGGATTGACCCTCTGCCGTTTCCTAGGATGCACAGCTTTCAGTGGTAACTAGGTGACTGTCAGAGAGTAACCATAGAAACTAATGGGACTGATCCAATCAGCTCTCTGATCAACCAGTCCCCTGGATCGCTGGTTGAACAGAGCATCGCTTTGCACAGGTGTCACCACTAACCTCCTCCCCACACCCCGTGCTCTCCTGTGTGCGCAATCGAAGCAGTTCTAATCCACACTAGTGCACAAATTATTATATTGCCTGCCTGCTCTCACGCGCATAAAAAAAAAAAAAAACACCACACAGTCTAAAATCCGGGATAATTGATCAGAGTCGAGGGCATCAATGAACAACTATATCAGGGAGACTCCTGGAACTTCCAGGAGACTTGAGATGTCTGGATTGGTAAGTTAGTAAAGGATAGTAGTTCTATTAACCATACATGTAAACAGAGTTTTAAGGGGGCCCCCAGGAACTTGGGGCCCTAGGCAGCTGCCTAGTATTGCCCAATAGTAACCAATGAGTATTGCTAGAGCAAATGCTCTGCAAAGCTCTGCTGCATTAAATCCAAGCGCTCACTAAAGGTAACCCTTTAATGAGAGAAAAATGCTCACAGAAACTCCTTCCACCTATTTTGTTTTTACAGTGTCCTTTCTGCCAATGTGGCAATAAGAATAATTGTCCTGATGCCAAAAAGAGCCCAACAGATTTTGCTTTCCCAAGTGGAGCAGTACGGCTATCGCCATAGTGTTCAGCTTGATTTATGCATATAAATAGCTTCATTATAATTATGCAGGGAGTTTTACAGATTATATGGACATTGCAATGTAAATAGAACAGGGAAGGAAAAAACAGAAAAAAGGAGAAAAGATGAAAGAAAGGGGAGATAAAAGGGAGATAACGATAAAACATTTTCAGTCTGCTTCATCACCTGCAAAGAGATGGAAAAAGAACAGCACAACCAGCAGACATGGTACGAGACATACAATAAAGTAACAGCTTGATATTATCGCTAAAGTAGTATTATTTAATCTGACATGTACTCTGTGTTACCTGAAGATAAGAATATGGGCTTTCTGTATGGAAGTGAATCTCTAAGTACCTGGAACCAAGCACCTGTAGTTGTTTGTGAAAGTGCACTTGTGCATGTAAAGTTTATCCAAAGAAAAAATGCTCAATAGTGGTTGTGAGGAGCCGAAGACGCGCCCCTCCCTGAGCACCGAGGCAAGCGACCCAAAGCCCCAGACGCCCAGAGGGACCTTTCCTTCCGCCTAGACTCTCTCTCCAGTGGTGAGATCTCCAGAGTGGCCGGTTGCTTCAATCTTTAATTCTCAACCCCTGCTAACGTTACATGGACCTAGTGGCTACCTCAGAATCACATCTGATCAGATCTGCAACATCCAACCATGCATCTTATTCTATCAGAGTCACATTAATACTTGGCAATCCTCTTGGGGAAAGCCTGGTCTGATTCGGAGAGACGGCATCCATCCCCCTTTGGATGGTGCAGCTCTTCTTTTAAGGACTCTGGCCACATTTATTAGTCCTCCAGACCCCCCAGGGTGCAGACCAGGAAGCAGAGTCCTAGTTTAACAGACCTCTCTGCAGCTTCTCTACTGTTACCCACTCTTTACTCCATCCAGGCAGTGTCTTGCCCAAAATCTAATAAATTAGCAAAGATTACCAAAGGAGTACATAATGATAATCTCATTAAAATCAAAATAACTCGGATTGGGGAAAAAGTTAAAACGTTAAAGTCAAGCTGGTTTTCCTTAGAAAGAAAGCTTTGAAGCAATCTGACTGGGTAATCTGGTTGAAGTGGCTTAGACAACTTTTCTTGTCATTTTGAAAACACAGTGTATATAACATGAAATTTCGTTTTGTAAAGCTTTATGACATTTCCATTTCTTAAAGTGCAGCAGTGATCTAATGTAAACAGAACAGGAAAATAAACATGGAACTGTAAAGGTTCTTGAGATGACATTCTCCAGGTCCATAAAACATATGTGCAATTGTTTGGAGAACTCCCATAAACCCTGGGGCACCCTGCAGAGCTGGTCCACTGTCCCAGGGCTCGGAAGAAAACCACACGGCTCCTCCCGGAGCCGAGGTTCAACAATCATTGAAATTCCCTCTCCAGAACCCTGGCATAGACCTTCCTGAGGAGGCTGAAAAAGAACCCTCCTTGGGCCAGAAACTTAAAGTAGTGGAGTGGTGTCACTGCCTGGATGAACCCAGAGGATATGATGTCTGGTGGGCTTAAAGGCCCCAGGTAGGATCTACCAAGGCAAACAGACTCTGGGTAATAAGAGAAAGAGTGATTCAAAAAGTCTCCTATGATGACAAAAATGGAAGTACAAGACGTCTCCCAGTACAAAAGAGTTGGGACCTCATCCTGGCCCAGGCCTGGGGGTCCAGGATGGGCCAGGGCTACATCATAACAAACCATCACCTGAACATACATTTTACTGCTCTTTAGCAATTGTTTATAACTGAAAAGCTTACGTGCAGTTAATGGTCTATGGTGTGGTGGTCAAAGTCTACCAGGTGTGTATCCCCATGGCCCATAATAGGAAGGGAAACCCCAGGTTACAGCCAAGTCCTCATAGTCCATGGGTAGCAGTGGGCTGGTGGAGGAGAGGAACTCAGGGAGGAAAATGATCTGAGGACACATGAAAACAATGAGGTACAGCTGAGATTTCTGGTGGATTTTCTTGCTACTGTTGTCATGGTGGGTTTAAGGTTCTTAGCCCACATGCAGAACACAACAGAGGCTGGGTAAAAATTTAACAGAGTTTATTGAATGTTTCAAAAAACACAAGATAATGTACTGGGTCAGGAACTGGTCCGGACTGGTTCATTGAAGTCTGCAGAGATGATAGTTTGATTAGAAGGCAGGCAGATGAATTATGAGTCTTTGATAATTCAGGATTATACCTTGACTGAGTCCGGGTTTCTCTTTGAGAGAGAGGGAACCGTTGGGTCCAGAGACTGTTTGTTCAGCAGAGTTCAAGAGCAGCTGCAGCGTCTAGCTTCTGACTTTGAATGGCAGACCTTGATCAGAGTTTCCAGCTCTTCACAAAGAGCGGCAGGGGAATCCACATAGGAATCTTCAGGTTTGGCTCACCAGAGCTTCAGGTTAGAGACAGGTTTCCAAACTAAGGTCAACACTGCGGCGTCGAAGGAAGGTCTGGCAGCTGGTTATAAAGGGGAGGTCTCCTGATGAGTAGATGCGTCTCAGGTGTGCTGGAAGACTCCAGCTCTAGGAGACCCACGGTGCACTCTGCTGGAGGAAGGTGGTACAGCTCCAGATCCCAACAACTGTGGTTGAATTTTATCAATCGTGTTTACAAAGTGAAGAATGGGGAGCGGTGGTGCAGTGGTTAGAGCTTTGTGTTTGGGTCCCAGAGGTTCAGATTTCAAGTCCCACTCAGTCCCACAGACTGCCACTCTGGGTCCCTGAGTAAGACCCTTAATCCTACGCTGCGCCGCACAATGGCAGCCTACTGCTCCACAGGGGGATGGGTTAAATGCAGAATTAATTTCCCCATTGTTTGACAATAAAGGGATTTATTTCTAATAGCATTATCCCTTTAGCCTAAATGCAATACCAGAAAATCTGTTTCTGATCAAACTGATTTCTTGATATCAATAATATGTGAAATCAGAAGTGGCTATTAATTAATTTAAATATACCATTGAAATTCGAGAGAAACATTTTGTATTTTCTAACAGCGTTAGTGAGATGTTTCTTCTACCAGTGACTAACTTTGATCTCAGAGAAGTTGATCTTGCAGGGTTTCCTAAAGTTACAGCCTGGTTAAGGTCAGCCTCCCATCAACCGGATCAGCATTAGAGTCGGTCTAGACTTGAGAAATAAATTTAATAAATGACTCAGAGTTATAATAAATGAATTTAAATGTAATGAGAGCAATGTTGGATTCAGTTTCACAGTAAAATAAACATTCATTTTGTGATTTAAAGGAGGTTGTTTATGTTATTGCAATCTTTATTTTCTCTGTTTAGCTGTTGGTAGTGGTGATGAGGTAATCAAGCAAATAAAGCCTGGGAAGCACTGATTTAACCCAGAACTCTGAAAGAAGCTGTTTAACATGGGGCGCTATGAGGTCAAAGGTCTTGTTGAGGAACCTAGAGCAGCAATCTAAGCTGTGAACTTGGATCTCTGCACTCTAACCACAGGGGTCACCATCCACCATTGTTTGCACAGCCACAGGTTGCGTCTTTGCATCAGCTGGAATTATTTTTAGTTTAGACGACTTTATTGTCAGTTTTTTTCACAAATTTCAAACATACTTTCAAACTAACATCTTGACCCTGATAAACCCACAGTGAAACTAGCATGAAATAGCAAAATTAACACAATGTCAGCTATAAATACATCAAGTTAATAGATGAACAGATAGGCTGGGAAAAGTTTTTAGTTACTTCTCCCAAAAAGTAACTGAGTTACTAATTGAGTTACTCCACAGTAAAAGTAACTATTGCATTACTTTTGAGTTTCTCGTCCCGTAACCCTCACCACCCCGGCCCCCACCTTCTCGCCCTGCTGAATAGAGCGGACGACAAAGACAAGAACCTGCAGAGAGTTTAGCATTTATTACAACTCAACATAAATGATATCGGGGGGAACGATATCTGACGGGCCTCTAAACCCTGTCAGATAGCGTTCCCCCAGTTTAACATGGGGGGGACGCTATCTGAGGGGCCTATAAACCCTGTCAGATAGCGTTCCCCCTGCTTAACATGGGGGGAACGCTATCTGACAGGCCTATAAACCCTGTCAGATAGCGTTCCCCCTGCTTAACATGGGGGGAACGCTATCTGAGGGGCCTATAAACCCTGTCAGATAGCGTTCCCCCTGCTTAACATGGGGGGAACGCTATCTGAGGGGCCTATAAACCCTGTCAGATAGCGTTCCCCCTGCTTAACATGGGGGGAACGCTATCTGAGGGGCCTATAAACCCTGTCAGATAGCGTTCCCCCTGCTTAACATGGGGGGAACGCTATCTGAGGGGCCTATAAACCCTGTCAGATAGCGTTCCCCCTGCTTAACATGGGGGGAACGCTATCTGAGGGGCCTATAAACCCTGTCAGATAGCGTTCCCCTAGTTTAACATGGGGGGAACGCTATCTGAGGGGCCTATAAACCCTGTCTGATGCCGTGTAAATATCATTGTTTTTTAGCAGGGCGTTCAGATCTGGTGAGTGTATGAAATTATTATCTCTGTCTGTCCGTCTATCTATCTATCCATCCATCCATCCATCCATCCATCCATCCATCCATCCATCCATCCATCCATCCATCCATCCATCCATCCATCCATCCATCCATCCATCCAGATTTCTCCATTTCTCCATATGGGCTATCATTTGATCCTTAACCAGGGTTCCTACAGCATAAGGCAAGTTAAAATCAAGACTTTTTAAGACTTTTTAATGCCACTTGAAATAAATATTTAAGACCAAATTCACAAAGAAACAGAAGAAAAACCTGCTTGTGACAACTTAACCCAAAGGTTTATTATAACATAAACCACTGCACTAATGTTTCAAATGTTGAAAAGCTTCCCATACAGGAAGAAAGCTAAAAACACACAAATGACAGATATATTTGAACAATTATTTAACTGAATTCACAAACTTTGTTTTAGCAGGGAACAAATCTAATCAGTTTTAAAGCCCCAACATAACCAGTGCTAAGTCTTTTTTTGATTTGGTTATAAGTGGAGGCGTTGCAGATACAAGGGTGGAACTAAACTAAGAAATATCGGCTGTTTCTCTGTAACTCCATTTTGACGCTTTGTGTTTCGTGCATCGCATGTGCGACTCCACTGCCTTAATTCCCATCATTCCGAGGTTGAATCGTTCTTGCATAAATCCACTGAGCCTCATGATTGTTCCCTGGTTTTAGCCATGGGGAAAACTCTTGGCTGGAGACAATTTCCGTTACATTTACAATTGCTCATATTTTCCAGACAGAAAGTTAATGGTGCATCTCCCAAATGTGCCGGCTGCAACAACACTTTATTGGTTCCGCTATCGGGACGGAACCAGTAATGGCGAGACATTTTTTTTTTAATAAATTTATTTAGATTACAAAAATAAATCATAATAAAAATAATCCTATTCAAGATGTTTTAAAAATTAAGACCTAGGAAAGACTGATTTAAGACATTTTAATACATATTAAGGCCTTAGATTATTTTGAAGAATTCAATGCCATTTAAGACTTTTTAAGGACCTGCGGGAACCCTGTTAACGTCGTGAGCACAGGGCGGCATTTGCGTGCCTTTAGCGAGCATGTGCGTTTCCTGTCGCTTGCGCGGTGACTCTTGCCGCCTGCGCTGTGCGGAGATGCAGGTAAACCGTATCTGATGGGGAAACGCAGCTCGACGTAACACCGGTATTTCCATCAGGAAAGCGCTGTTTTGCTGCTGGAGTCCTCCTGACTCTCCATCTCTCTGTGTGTGCTGTACGTTAACACCCACCAGCAGAAACACCCACCTACCAACTGACAGACGGAATCTCACTATACATCAGCCATTCTCATCCTCCCCTCGCTCATGACAAGGCGCGCACGAGTCCTGTCATGAAATTAGGTTCATTGTGCGACCTGAGTAACGCGCAGTAACAGGTTAGTCTCCAATGGTAACTGCATTATAGTTACAGTCAAAGTAATTAGTCAGATGACCCTGTTACTAAAGAAAGGTAACGGCGTTAGTAACGCTATCCTATGACTTTCCCATGTTTAGAGCAGTATGTAACATGCTGCATCAGAGACAAGGACAGCTCAGCTTTACTGTATGCTGATTCCAGAGGGATTCAGCTTTCTGTTGCTGCTCCAAACTCTAGATAGCGTAGGATAGGTTTGACCAAAGCAGCCCATAGTTCTCTAAACCTGCTGATTGTCACACTGTTTCAGGTAAAATCCAGAGTGAACAGGCCAGCTAACAACCGTCCTCTGAGACCCACAGCATTTTCCAGTGGAAGAGTCGGATCGCTAAGCAGGGAGGAGCTGTTTTATTATTGGAAGCTAACTCTGAGTAAATGACAGGTTAGCCTCTGGTTTCTAGGGCTATAGAGCTGGAGCATCTTCAGCATACTGCAACTACTAACCAAGGTCTTTCATGAAACAGAGAGATTGCTCACTAAGGTTTTACCACAGAGGGCCCATTTTAAGGCTGTTATGATAAGTTATGAATTATACCTCCTGACTGTTGATTGGCTTCTCTAAATGGCCCTTCGCTGTGAGTGTGTGTGTGCATGGTTCTTTGTGTTGCCTTGCGACAGACTGGCGACCTGTTGACCCCGCCTCTCGCCCGTAGACTGATCACGGGGAAAAGTAGCAGTTGTTCAGTTCAGTTCAGTTCAGTTTATTTATATAGCGCCAAATTCACAACACATGTCATCTCAAGGCACTTTACAGTTCAACCAGATCATACAGTCAAATTGATACAAAGTTTTCTATCTAAGGAAAACCAGTTGATTGCATTGACTCATTGACTCAAATACAATCCCCCACACTAAGCATGCTTGTAGCGACAGTGGAGAGGAAAAACTCCTTTTTAACAGGAAGAAACCTCCAGCAGAACCAGGCTCAGTGTGAGCGGCCATCTGCTGAGGCCCACTGGGGTTCAAGGA